GCTACTGTGACAGCTGCCAGTCGTCGTACCCCCTGAACTGCTGGACGAAGTCGATGCCCCACCCTCAGACACACCCAGCACGCCTTGGTGTACCAAAGTCCCCGGTGCTGCCACACCTAACCGCTGGAGCTGTTGGGCGAACAGGAAAGGCGTTGGCATGGTATCGGGAGCGGTTGTTGGCTTCGTGGTCACCAGAGGCTGCTGCCTCATGAGTGTTATCGGGACGGTGACGCCTGCTAGTGGCGTGTCGTACTCGTGCATCATCGGCGTCGTGTCAGACGGTGGAGGTTTCCCTGAGCGCAGAGTTGTGTCCGTCGCACAAACCAGGACGCTTGTAGGAACGCTGCCCGCGTCTCTGACTGGACTCGTGCAAATATCTGGAGCCGTTCTGCTGAGAGGACCTTCAATACCCTCGGCGTCGCTGGCCACAAGTGCGCCGTAGTACTCCATGCTGCTTCCACTCCACAGACTCGGAGGACCGTTCTGACGGCGTCTGCTACCCGAGCTGCGATGATGTACGAGGTACTCGCCTGCAGGTCCGTGGCGGAGACGCCTCTCCGCGCCGGGAACCATCACTCGAACCATGTCCTCTACTGTAGGGAAGCGTCGGAGATACGCAGATATGGACAGAAGTGCAGCGAGTTCAGCCATGATGAAGGCAGCTCCAGCGGCAAAGAATGACCACCCGTATCTGTAGTCAAACAGGTTCGATGAGGAGTTGTACGTCGAGATGGACGCCTGACGTCGGGGTCGGTCAAGATAGGCGTCGCTCAGGACCGACGCGAAGATGACGAGGCCACCCCCGAGTGACAGACCTGCAGAGGAAACGACACGATCTGTATTGAAAACGGACATTACATAAACGATGATTGAACTCTACAAACACACAAAGCACAGACCCTGCACCCCAAAATACCCTCAATGCGAGTCCTCTTGTGGAAAATTATTTGTCTACACTAATGTATTCAACAGCAATAAACAAACAAAAAAGAATGAGTCTATTGTATTTAACTCACTGTTTAGTCACTACCCTCGTGATATTGTATTTGCCATCGAGAGCCACCCTCGAGTCACATGTTAGTGGAACGTACAGTACAAGCAGCAGGTGTCAGCCAGCTGTTCCGACATATGTCATGCTTCCCCATTTCGAGTGGATAATTTTAAAACATTTATCTATAAATCTAAAAAGTATAAATAAAACTCACTAGTGTTTATAATATGCAAGAACGATGTTTTTGTTAGTATTTTTTTTATAAAGAGTCGTCCATATCAAAGACTTCTACGCAATTTTTCTTTGCAAGGAACGTCCTTATTTTACATCCGAACTACTCCCCCTTTCCCGGTTTCGTACTTCGTCTCTCAGACATCGCGGGGCGAACTGTTTACTTCAGGATTTGAGGTTTTGACGGCGGTGAGTCTGAAGATGGCGCAAGAACCCAGAAGACAGGATATCTTCTGTTTCCTTCAGACCCATCGTAATTTTGTACACCCGACAATGCCTACAATTAACATCCTGGGGGTCTCGGGTTCGATTCCCGGCGGTGCCCGAATTTATAACTTGTGTTGGGCGAGGCCGTGGTCTAGGCAACACGGAGTTTTCCTCCGTGGCATCCCAACAATTACTCCATTCACACACAGAAGAAGGCAATGGCAAACCACTTCTGGATCATCTGCCAAGAACGTATATGAACAGGTCCCAGTCCGAGAAAAGGATGGAAGGATCCTGTTCATATGGACCTGTCGTCAGACAGAACACTACAAAAAAAATGCATTTATCATCTGTCCTATACGTGATTTACGCCTTACCCACCTCATAGGAATATTACTTCATTTGATCACCGTAGTAATATATAACGGATACTGCACAAATCTCGCTTCAAATTCACGAAAGTTCCCCCGATTTCTAAAGCAGTACCCAGTCATAAATTGAAAATAAAAGAATATTAGTACCTTTGTATTAGGTTTCTTACTGACGCTGTATTATAAAATTATGTAATTCTACTCGGAGACCAGTCTCTTTCCGACGAGAGTTCATGCAGACCTATCGCTTAGTTACCACGAACAACGACAGGCTGGTATCAATATTTCTATGTTGCCCTGACGCCAGTATTTGCCACATTACGTCAGTCAAAACAACTCCAAAACGACAAATAAAATTATATATTTCACGCAGAGACACTGCGCTGTACCCCAGTAAGAGATACGCCACTGGCACACGCCACTGTAACGTCAGAACTTCACCGGAGGGTGATTCCCTAGGGCCTTTCATATGCCCCATTATATTTTGCAGCAAAACTCTTTGTAATGTACACAGAAGAATCGGATAAATGGGACCCATCACATACCGCTCATCTAAGACGAATAAACTAATTCATAATCGTCTACTTCTTGTTCTCTTTCGAGTTCCTTCGTCTCACTCTTCAACGTCGCGGCTTCTGTGATAAAGACAGAACGAAGTGTTCTCTCTACTTATAAATTCGAGAGGCAGAGATCATGGGAGTCACTTAAAACAAGAGAGCATCTAGCATATCTTGAGGTTCTCACGGCGATAAGTATTAAAGATTCCAGCAGACTCCACAAAGCTAATTTATATTAATATTTTTCTGTTTATATCTTAATTGCATCATGCTTGTGTTCCTCAATACAGTACTTTTATTTTCCGTCGTTACACAAGCTTATTGTTAAAATCATATAAAATTTCACATAACATTGTTACATTTTAAAATTGACGACATGTTTCGATATACAATTCTATCATCGTCAGGTCTATCAAAATTAAAATTAAAATCTGGTGTATCTGTTGCTCTGCTTATATTGCTTTTGTTTTTATCCGTTTTTATTACATCTCAGGCTTCTTCCATTTAATTTTGGAGACGCGCCTGGGTGCCTATATCTGCAAAATCAATTTTAATTTTTATATCGTGATTCTGGATACCGACATAGGAAATGGAATAATATTACTCTAATTTTATAACAACGGACACGCACCTCACACACAACCCGATATAGGCACCCAGGCGCGTCTCCCAAATTAAATGAAAGAAGCCTGGAGATGTAATAAAAACGGATAAAAACAAAAGCAATATAAGCAGAGCAACAGATACACCAGATTTTAATTTTAATTTTGATAGACCTGACGATGATAGAATTGTATATCGAAACATGTCGTCAATTTTAAAATGTAACAATTTTATGTGAAATTTTATATGATTTTTAATATTTTTCGTCAACAAAACATTACAAGAGGCAGAATTTGCATAATCTTCGAAGATCTATGATCACACATGTCATAAACGTGTCATTAAGTCAGCAGTGGCGCTAGTGTAGTTCCCACGACCGCCATTTTGGTATTAGTGAAAGAAGGAACATTAAATTGATGTGATCTCGCACGCTGTTATACTGTTATTCGGGAAAACAAGACAGACATGATGGTGTCAGTCAGCGAAAGATGTTTACGATAAAACGAGATTAAAATTGGGCCTTGTCTGTTACGTGTTGAGATGCACGAATTTGAGGGGGAATTTCTTGGATACTGCGAGAGATTTTAATTGTATGCAACGTAATTACAATCTAGTCGGAATAAATATATGGAAACGTATAGCTTGATGTTCATTAAAGCAGTTCACCAAGAAATTAATATGTAACATTTCCCAATACCATTTTCACACAACAAGTTGAAAGCACGGCTTTTGTGACAGTTACGTTAACTGAAGCATGTACCAGGATTACCAACACTACCCATGCACTTTTACCTTCGATTCAAACCACATACATTCTACAGCTCTGATTTTTAAAGCAGATAATAGGAAAATTCGATTTTTGTTGGTTGGCGACATAAAACATTTTACCTGAAATCACAGAAAAACCGGAGTAGCACATTATACGAACAAACTGAACAACGAATTCATCCGGAAGCCAAGGCCGGATCAGAGTAAGCGTGCCGTAAGTCCAGAATATACTTTTCCACAAGTAAGATGCTTATCGTAATGATGAGTAATGGATTTGATAACAATCGCTTAGATACCTAATACATTTCCCGACTTTTATGAAACCGGGAGGTTCATGAACTTGTTCACAAGAGCTAGCCAACGGACCGAATTCTGTGCCAGAAAAATCCAGCCGACGCTCTCAAACACACTTGTCTCGGTTTTCCGCAATACAAACTCAAGTCTGGCAGAGAACGAAGCTAATAGATCCACAATGTATGCTAATTCCCTGACACGAGTCGATTCCATGGCAACCTCGCCGAAACAGGTGAATAAAAGAGAAGAAAGACAAAATCATTTGTACGCCGTCACATTTTGACTGATTACAAGAATGGGAAGTCGGAGGAAACCAGGGTCCCAACCGACTCACACTTGTCAGAAGAAAGAGAACAGAGTTGAGCCGGGGGGGGGGGGGGGGGGGGGTAGGAAATTGGATAAAGCTTAGAAGGGTTTTTAAAGGAAATAGCCTTGGTTGAAAAATGAAAGGTCGAAGCAGGCCTATGTAGGAAAACTCTAAAAATTAATGTAAGTGTTAACAGAACGAAGTAAGGTCTTGGATTTATGGACAGTTTCTTTCCGAAAAAAAAATATATAAACACATTTTAAATGAAAAGAACTTTCCGAAATTTGGAATAAAAGTCCCAAAGAATAGTTAAAATAAAAGGATAAGAGCCTGCACAAATTTGTGGGAATCTCAAACTGCGGTATAAAAATTTGTCGTTAAGTCGCGGAGTTTTGGATTTACTTCCAGAATTACGACAAAGTCCATAAAATGAGCAACATCTTTTGATATTATTGACGCAGGAAACCTGTAGCTATAGGTCTGTGTTATATAAAGAGAGTGCTTTTCCCAGACAAATGCCAGAACAATAGCTTAACGTAAATAGGAGGATAATACTAAAATGTAACATGAAGTAGTAAAGTGTGATGCTATGAACTGGATTTATTGACGTATTGAGGCGTCGGGTTTCATAAAATAAGAAAATTTCTTGAATAACAGCGACTATCAGCTTCTCAAGAAGGACAGTGTTGCATGGAGTTAGCTATCTTAAGATCTACTCAACTACCTGTTTCATCCATGACTATACCTGTTTAACTTACTTTGTAAATCCTTTGTATTTTAATTCGTGTGTAAATACATCTTGGTTTGAATATATTCTGTTTCGCTAAGCTCAACCAATGAACATAACACTGTGGGGATTGCCTCCCAGTAAAGCCATTAACCTGGAACCAAAACTGTGTACTGTATTAGACCGCAGTGGATTAGCTTCGTGATCACCCTGTGGATTAGTACAGGCGACATTAGGTCAAAGCAGAGGCATTGTCTGGCATCTATCCCAGCGTGAGTGGTAGGCAGGCAGCGTGACGCCATTAGAGGCCCGCGTTAATGAGGTGTCTGCTGGTAGCCTAACACTGCAGGGAGCACCACCCCTCAAAGGCTGTGAAGTTCAACACACCTTGTGCGAGGGTTGTAGGGAGCAATGGTGAATTTGAGACCGCGAGTAAGGGGGTTGGGTTTGACGTTCATTATTGCTTAGGGAGAACCATTTTTATTATGCAGAGAGGGTAGTTTTTGATTTAAAACAGAGATTTCCCATGGGGTTCAGTGTGAGAGGGGAGGTTTCGAGTTTGCGGATCTTCAGATAGGAACACAGGAAAGATTTTTAAAGTACGGCAACAATAACTCCATGTTAAGCGGGTCCTTGTCATCACAATTTAGCGCGTTCTCAGATCCCGGATGGTGAAGACGACCTGAAATGTGGAATGCAGTTGCGAAATAGTGGATAAATGGGTGGTGGAAGACTTCTGAGACTGATAACAACAGTTAT